AAATTTACAATTCGTTAACTAACTTTCACGGCTTTAAGAGTTTTGCACATTATAATATCGTCCATTTCGCAACTATAATTTGCTCTCTGCGAATTTACCAACATGTCGAATACAGTAATTAAGGTACGAAGAGCAATATTTCTTAGGCGAAAAGACTTTCAAAACGTTGAACGATCGGCCCTATCTTCATCGATGTATGGATCAGTCACCGTGACGTAATTGCTCAATAAACAAAAATCGAGATCGATTCCCATCGATCGGGTAGCACTCTCACTTCGTCCCTGCCCCTTTTTCCGTCAATCGTCACTGTTAATCGCATTGTCCCGAAACGAGATCGATGCATCCCCAGATAAACTGAATCGTCCGGTCGGTTTCTCTTTGTATGTTCGCCTGATTTTTCTTTTTCCTTCGCTCTACACCCGACTTACTCACTTTTTATTTTAAACTGCCTTAATGGAACGTTTAATTAAAATTTAAAACCCTACAAAACCACTTCGATGCGATATTTCCTTCAAATAAACAAATAATACTCGACGTAATATGCAATGTTTATCTATATATATAGAATGATTGTGTGAGAGCGTTTCTAGATTCAGCAGGTGACTTACATGTGGCATATTTAAAATATGGGAGAACTTTAAATAACAAAAAGCTTTCTAAATAACAGTCATATTGAAGTGTCGTTGTTTGAAAAACAAACAAAAAAAATGAATGAAAAGAAAAAAGTTTATTTTTGTAATGCAAAATGTCATTTCGCGATATTTCTAAAACAATTTCGTTTAATATTAGAATTTAGCTTTATGTATTATTTATCGATTTACATTGGAAATTAGAAAAATTTTTTTTAAATAGTTCTTCTGTTTTTAAAGTAAATAAAATTTAATCGAATTTGCAATGAAAAAAAAAAAAAAAAAGATAAGGAGAGAAAAATAAAAAGATAAACAAACAAAATGTCCATTGGCAGATAATAAAGATGCTAATCTCCGAATGGGGAGGCACGACGACGAGTTGTCACGAACAGAAATTAAAAAATACTTTTGTACTCCACTATTTTATGAAGTTGATGATAATATGTATTTTTAAAACTTTCGCATTTATAAAATTTGCGAACACTAGTGTCGGTTCCACGGAGGATCAAACGCTAGTCAAGTTAAGCACACCACTGCCTCATCTCGTGACGAAATATGCCAATAGCAGCTTGAAAACTATATTGTCATATCAGTAGCCAACATATTTTCGACAAATACACGCGTAGATAAAGAGTTGAAAAATGTGACGATGGGCCGGTGAGAGGAGGGGGCATATGGCAAGCCACAAGACATTCATAATGTCTCCGATTCTCTGAAGGTGTTTTCGCTGCTACGGTGAGATGAGATGAGACGGGACGGGGAGTCGAGCGGTCGTCTTGGACGTCCCCTGGCATGTCCGAGACGAAGACGAAGAGCCAGGGTGTCTGGAACTCGCGCGGGGCCCCTGCCCTCATTACCCGAGGATAATGGGGCCCCGTCGCGACTAGGAGAGCGACACGTCTGCCCGATTGATCGATACGCGCCCGTGGCTTCTCTCCCACGGGGATCGCGGCGCCTTTTATCGGGCGATCGCGGACCTCGGGGCAGGTGCCTACAACGACCTCGAGCCTAGGCGTGCCCTTACCATGCTGCCGACTCTCCTCCACCGATCCGCGGCTAAAACTTTTTCACTCGGATATCGGGGCACGATTAACAACGGCTGAGCTAGATTTTTTGGCGAATTTTATTCCGACCCACAATCGGGAGGACCTATATATACTTTTGCCATATTTATAAAACTACAGCTCCGCGGAACTTTGATTAATCGTTTGAAATTGCCTTATGACAATGGCTAACAGTCTCGTGGTATTGTTTCATGCTTATTAATAAGGAAACAGTTTAATAATAATTGCTATTCGTACCGGAATTTGATTTGTCTCTGAAAATAGCATCTACCATGTAGGATTGATTAATCCACATTAATTGGTACATCGATAATACGTCAAATAATTGATGATTCCGACACATGAGCGTCAATTTTTATTAATAATGATAAAACGATATAAAGTCAGAATTTCATACAATAGTGGTGGTTAAGCGCGTATGGTAAAAGTCAATAGTCAATTCGATAAATTGTTTTGCCATTGTATCAGGCAGCTTGAGGCTTAACTGCGATTTTAAGGTTAAACCAATAAGGTCTGAAGGACCTTAATCGCGTAAACGTAAAAGAAAGCCACAGCAAATAATGGTGGAAAAAAGTAGCTAAGCGTTGGTGATAAAACTGAGCGGTAATGGTCGATTGGAGGAGGGTCGCATAGAATAGGGAGTACAGGAACGAGCTGCAAACGAAGATCGCTCCGTCTGGAAAAAGTGAGAGGCCCCCGAGTGCTACGGAGATCCCGCAGAGGAGCTGCGACTCGCGACAGCTGTCCGTCCACGGGAGAGCCCGATAAGCTCCTCTCGTCGGTTTCCCTCGTCCCCAATCAATCTCCCCATCCCCTCATCGTCACCCCCCCCACTACTCTCTCTCTCTCTCTCTCTCTCTCTCTCTCTCTCTCTCTCTCTCTCTCTCTCTCTCTCTCTCTCTCTCTCTCTCTCTCTCTCTCTCTCTCTCTCTCTCTCTCTCTCCTTGTACAATACCCATCCCACCATCCAAACCTCCTCCCTCACCACCGTTCCCGATCGGCTTAACGAAGCTCTAGTGGTGGGGCAGAATGCCGGCGGAGAGCTGAGGCGCAGCTTACGAGGCCGCAATAATTGGGTGTGAAGCGCCCGGCGATGATATCATCCTCTCTTTATATACACGCCCGGATCGATGGCCGCGGGATCCCGAGCACATCCGTCTCTATTCCCTTTGTGCCTTTTGCACGCCGGACCCGCTTCTCTCTTCGTTCTCCTCCCCGCCCCGCCCCGTCCCTCCCTCACGACCCCTTATCCCTTTTTCGCTCCGCTTTGTTTCGCCGAGCTCGGTCGGATCTTCTCCTCTTTCACCTCCTGTCCGACGCGATCTCTTCCAAGGGAATCCACCGTCCTCCCGCGATTCTACTTTATTGCAGCGTACGGATAAAGGACTGCACGTTGTGCCAAGCAAGGACGCGACTCGCCTCGCTCTTTTAGGCGAAAGCGTTCAAGGGCCGCGAATTTAAGGACGTAGCGAAGCGAACGCGATTGCGAAATTCACATATCCATGGCGATCGATGCCTTACGATTGCCATCTCATTAATTCCCTGGAAGCGTTCCTCCTCTTACGACATTACGACGAATCAAGTTTATTCTCTATTAAGTGCACGGCGACAGGGCCACTGCTAATAATTGACAGGCGACATAAATAGCCACATTTATTCGACATTGAATCATCGTTGAAAGCGATGTGTCGATAAGCCTACAATGAATGCAAAAGACGATGGTCGGGCGAATGCCCGGCGATGAAAAACCTCGATTCGCCGATTCTCCCGTTTAAGCGTTGTGCTCGATCGGCTCGCCCATACCCCGGGCAGCTCGATAACGCGTATCGGACTCACGGGATGACATGACGTGGCACACGATCTGCGGCGCCCGATAAATCTCCGTCATCGCCGTCGGCCGAGCGACACCCGCTCGAGGAACAAATGCGACGCGCAGATGAGCGCACGGATAAGATGAAGCGTGACGGCTCTGCTCGAGACTGGCCCTCCCTGACTGACGTCATTTTTCCCAAAGCACGATGGCTGAGCATCTCGCAGCTTTTTACAATGGCTTAGGCTGCTTTTGCAATTACCATTTGGGTTAATGGTGGATGGTTTTGACGCGAGCGTGAACAAGGCTTTATTATTATTAGCCAACGACGATACGTCTTTACTTATTATTGGCTTCGTAAGCATTATTGACATGACGCTGCCTCCTTGGCACGTGGCACGATGGTCGATCGTAGCTGTACGAAGGCTATTATTGATTATGTTTTACGAATATGTTGGCTGATGTGTGTTGGGCATTAATAAGTCAAGGGGTGATTCGTTGGTCTATTAAATTAATTAATGCTTTGCTCCCCGATATGCATAAGCTTCTTATGCATATCCTTACAACGTTACTCGAAATTCCTAACTACACGACCGCTTCGTTATAATTAAATTAACCTCTAAAGTTTTTTTTTTGTTTTTTTTTTTTATAGGCAATATTGAACTCATCCTCCTTCGACATTAACATTATTTCTAATACAATTGTTAATAAAAAAACACTGTATTTGAGATTTAATTCTATTGAGTTGGTAATTAATTTCTTTTAACACTCACTCACATTAAATAAGACTAAGATTATAGCAGAGATTATTAATGATGAATGAATGTTAATCTTCAACGTTTTTACGTAAAGTTTGAAGTATGAAATAAAAAAATGTGCATATACGTATGAAAACTTGTGTTTCAGGTATTCGTACAACAATTTGATTTATCTCTCCAAGCAGCGGCAACCGAGTAGCATTGACGTTAATCTGGACGTCCATGATCAATCGAATAATTGATAATTCCGAAATATACGCGTCCATTTGATTAAACATTATAATACGATAAAAAAATATAAAACGATCAGAATTCATGATGAGCCCTTTAATGTAATATATAATTAAAAAAATATCCATTATTTTCGTATGGCTTTTATTCCACACACGGTTGCGTGGAAATGCCATTGGAATATGTCACTGTTTCAATATATCAGATGAATATATCCAAATCAGTCAATAAAAATTTGGTTTTACGAAAATTTTCAGATTTTCTTAAATTTTCATCATTATTTTTCGTACTTACGTAATAATAAAATTTTCCATTCGCCTTTACCATCATTGCACAATGATGCCGATTGTAGCGTAACCCTTTAAACCTTTTAAATGACAAATCGATTAATGCTAATGTTATAAAGTATCACTACCAATAATATCGTTACGTGGAAAGTCGCACATGACTTTCGAATGATAAATAGTCCAGCCATAACAGCTAATCTACGATAAAATCGTTTTTACAGGTGAAAAGCCGTACCAGTGCACATGGGAGGGATGCACGTGGAAATTCGCTCGCTCGGACGAGCTTACGCGGCATTACCGCAAGCACACCGGCCAGAAGCCCTTCAAGTGCCATCTTTGCCAGCGCTCCTTCTCCCGCAGCGATCACCTCTCCCTCCACATGAAGAGGCATTGATAGACTACGGCCCGACCGATGTTGTGGGGCCCGAAGATGGGGCAACAGCTGACGAGCTTAATCATATGTACATTCGGGACCTGAAGGCGCGAGGTTGAATAGACGGAGAGGCATATCTGGACATCCGGATCCTCGTCCTGGGCGAAACGAAATGCCGTATGCTTACGTCGAGGAACGAGAAGTTACATACACATACGTACGCGCGCGTACACAAACACGCACACACACAAACACACAATAAATATAGCCACGTACACACGCCTATACGCTCACGCGCGCACGCATCCGTGTATTTATACACGTAGCGCGCGCGCGCACACAGGCATACACAAATACGTACATACATTATACAGATATATTACACTGTGCAAGAACTTTCGTTACTTCTGTGATTAGAAATTTTTCGGCCTAAAAAGCTTTGTGGAGACATCGGAGAATACGATTGCGTTGGTGAATTAAATTTATTTAGAGTTATGTAGCGGATCACAGCCAGGGCAAAAGATCCAAGGTGCGTGGACAAGAGTGAGAGAGAGAGTGAGAGAGAGAGGAAAGGAGAGAAAGAGAAGCTTTGTGGAGACATCGGAGAATACGATTGCGTTGGTGAATTAAATTTATTTAGAGTTATGTAGCGGATCACAGCCAGGGCAAAAGATCCAAGGTGCGTGGACAGAGAGAGAGAGAGAGAGAAGAGAGAGAGGAAAGGAGAGAAAGAGGAAGAAGGAGAGAAAGAGAGAGAAGGAGAGAAAGAGAGAGATAAGAGGGAGAGAGAAGAGAGAGAGAACTTTAGAATAGTACTTTACTAAGAGAGAGAGAGAGAGAGAGAGTGATAAGAGGGAGAGAGGAAAGAGAGAAGGGAGAGAGAGAGAGAGAGAAGAGAGAGAGAGAGTAGGAGAGGGGGAGAAGGAGAGAAGATTTTTACGCCCGGATTGGCCGTTGTGGGACGAGACAAAGCGCTGCGGGTTCAGCTAGAAGGAGATAATTAAAAGAGCATTATTATTATTATCATTATTATTATTATCATTATTATTATTATTATTATTATTATTATTATTATTATTATTATTATTATTATTATTACTATTAGTATGTTTATCACTATAATTATTACTATAATTATTACTATGATTATTACTATGATTATTATTATTAATATAATTATTAGTATTAATATTAATATTACATTTGTGGATTATTATTAATTATTACTAATTACTATTATTTTTGTTTATTAGCCAATTTAATTTTGTTGAAAAATTCCAATTCCTAATTTAAATGCATTGCAATAAGGGCCAGCTCAACTAGTCTAGAGCAAACACATCATTTTTATTTCTATACGAATAAATAAAGTAATTGTGAAAATGAACTTAGAGCCAGTAAGCGCCTAGGAGTTAATTATAAGCTGTTTATTTCTTAGTGAATTATTAATTATAAAGGGATTATAAGAGTATATATAAACATATAAATATATATATATATATATATATATATATATATATATATATATATATATATATATAAATAATCATACATATATGTATACATAGAATCATATATATATATTTATTGAATAGTTAATACGAATTACATAGGGACTCCGGTGACGGAGCTTGGGACTTAGCATGCTCAGTTAAACAAAATAAAAACTCTATCCGAATGATCGTGATTGCAAGCGTTTGTATGAAAAAAAAACCTTACATACATATATGCATACTTTTACATGCATACATCCATCCATCCATCCATACATACATACACACATACACTCATACATGTATACATGCATAAATAAATACATGCATACATACATATATACATAAATACGTACGTACATACAGACATGCATACTTGTATACATACAAACATACTAACGCATAAAACAAACAGTGGAAACTTTAGATGCAATTCAATTTGCCATGTGTGTATATTTGATGTATTGCACAAAAAGAATTTCGCGTTTAGAGAAGGACAATCAACCGTCGACTCGATGATGCGAATATACATATATATGAAATAGATGAATAGCGCGTATGAAAAGACTTCACTGTACTAGCTGAAATTTTCACTACTTTTTGTTACCTTGTATTTGTAAATGCGAGAAAGATAATGTAGCGAGTGGAAGATGAAAAAGGAGAGAATTAAAGAATATAGAAATGTAAGTGTGCGAGTGTCAATTAGAACATAATTATTCGAGCTAATCTAATCTAAAAATAGAAATCAGTTGAATTAAATTTTGAAATGAAGGAAAGCATGTTTTGTACGTCTAACTGAAGAGTAGATTAGCAATTCTTAGTTAGAACAACGAAGATTTTTTTCGTCCGCGTAAAGTAATTTAAAAAAAGTAATATGTATCATTGTGAATATTGAAATAATTTTACGATTGCGAGAAGCCAGTATTACCCACATGCCACGTGCTAAGGACGTTTTTACTGTCGTTGAGCGTCTATCGTTTAGCGCATGCGAAGGAGTAAACAAAAGATGTTTAGCGTTAAGAGAGAGGCATATATATATATATATATATCGCGCGCGCGCGCGCGCCGTTACTCATTGCTACATTATATTAAAAATGTCGATCATGCTGAAGTGTGATCATAGGTGCTCGATCATAAATGAAGATTTTGTCCTATCGCACTGGGGAGGAATAAATAGACGGGAACGTAAATGGATTATTATAAAAGTACACTAGAGCATAACGATTTATTCAAACAACTCATATCTATCGCAAGGCCACTACTTTTGTTTTAGAAACTTAGAGCGGCATATCGTTTGTTCTTCAACGATGTCGAATAAATATAACGAGAACGTATGGTCGATTGAGAAATTATCGTTTTGCAAAACGATAAGTTGGGCTGTATATTTTTGTACAAGGAGCTTTTTCTATCGCGTACGAATAATAGTTGGAATTCTCGCTCAATGATATTAATTTTGTTATAAAGGTTTCGTATATTATAAAGGAATTATATATCCGTTGTCCGTTGGCTCGCGAATGTACGAAAGCAATGAATGATTTTAAGGAAATTTATGGCATGAAATTACGTACGCTGCGAGAAAATTCATGAACAAACAGTTGTCCTAATAGCAAAATATTTCATAGATTATTAATTATTAATTTCATAGAACATATCATAATTTTCATTCTCTGCGCTTTAACTGTATTTTCGTATTATTTATATCTAATCCTTACCCAAAAGTAACGAAAAAACTGTCGTCATTACACAAAATGGGCGGCTAAACGCCATTAAATTAATTAAATGAATGCTCCGGCTTAAATATAGTTATGGTAATTAAATTTTTCCATAATAAGCGCTCTTGATTGTCATGCTATTTCATGCCAGCAAAAATGGTGGTATGCCAATGCTTAATGCCCTTTCTCATCTATTGAAAAATTACAATATGTCGGTAAACGACGACACTTATCTTACAAGTAATTATCTTCTTTGGCACAATTGCTACGCTTCGCGATGTTTGGCTAAAGTGTACGGCCTCGAACACTCCGACAAACTCGACGAAATAATGGAAAATGAAAAACGGGATGCCAGTATGCCATAGAGCCAGTTTACGTCACAGAGACGTACGAAAATGGATTTACATCCTTGTGAATTTATGAAAAGGAGACGGAGATCATTATTCTGCATTTTTTTCCCTTCCGTAGTTCTGGTTTATTACATAGATATTGTTAGTGCCTTCGCATGAATGGTGTGGGAAAAGAATTTCGCGTATTTAGGCCTTAAGTTCAGAATAGTGCCTTACAATATGAATTATGCGCGCGCGCGCGCGCAATGAAATGTTTGGCTACTGTGAGCCTTCTTCGGCCATTGTTTTCTTTGCATTCATTCCTTTAATGTGGTCGATATAAAAACGAACAAAATTGCAGAGGGAACTATTGCTCAATTATTAACTTAAAGCGTGCATCGGTGATAATAGGGACAGCACTTCGATATTAATAATTAAATTCTTATCTCTTGTGATTAATGAAGATTAGGAGATTTTAATGAAGAATTTCATTGACTCCATGATATATTAAACATTTTGATTACATTACGATTTCAACAATCCGAATGCTGCATAATATAAATGCTGAAAATAAAGTTATGGCATGATTTATTTAAATGAAAATTGGTAATATCGATTAATGCAAAAATATTGGCAATCGACGATTATTGAACATGCTGGTAATTACTACGATGTGCGATAAAAGTTGTTTGTCACAATATTAAAAAACGAGTAATGTCGCTTGTTAATCTCAATTTAGTCTCTCAATTATTTCCTATAAAAATACCGATGAGCTTCCTGGTCTTCAAAATTGCTCTTGCCTACAATTTTGTCATTTCACGATGCTGAGACGAACGATCCGAGGTTATAAATTTCAATAAGCGCTTCATTATAATTATAAACATATCTTAATTATTACATTAGTACGTAAAACGTTAATGCATCCATAGTTTTGTTTTATCTTGTGTTTAGCTATAGATTAAGTAAGCCGCGAATTCTTTGGTGTGTTCGTAAATTAAAAATAAAAGCTTGTAAATAAACGATAAGTTCCCTCGATCTCGACACAATTTTCATGAAAAGGATGCGCCCAAAGTGCGAGCCGTCGATGCTAAAGCGGCTTAAGCACATAACGCGAGGCGATATTCTCGGAGGCGCTGGTCGGCAACGGTACTCCCGGATCGATTAGCCTTCTATCGCGGGAGCTTTCGAGAGTCATAAGCGCCTCGCCGTCGAGGCAAACCGCGAGATTGAATCTGTAAAATCAACGCCACCCAAGACGGCCGTGGACGCGCCTTGATGAGTGATACCGTTGTTGGCGCGCGAACAAGCAGATCTATCGCGCACGCGCGTGGGCCTCGGAAATCCGAGATCGCGAAAGCCGCTCGATCATAAGCCCGAGCTTCTTTTATTCGCGCGCTCCTCGCATATTACGACTCGCTTTATCAGTTTAATACGATCGCGCGGCCCTCGAGAGAGGAACGAGCGCAAAGAGCGAGCATTCCCTCGACGACACAACTCCGGGCAACACGAGGATCTCGCTTAGGCGCGATAGAGTGAAATTCTTCGTCGTCGTTTAACAACGCCGAATTCCATAATTGGCGGACAGAAATTAACAGCGTGGGCTCTTATCCGCTCATTTCCAATTCCAACATGCAATAGGAAATTGACGAGAATTTGATTATTTGACTAATTTGTCGTTAATAGTACATACACCGATAGTTCTTGTTCCCTTAAGCCAGCGCGTGGCTTATAGAAAACTGAAT